TGCATGAACCTGTGTAAACAGTTGGCACAAAATATCACAAAATATCTGCAGGAAACACTGATGGCCGACCAGCAAGGCTTCATTGATGGCCGACAAACCAAAAGCCATGGCCAGCAGCCTTCAAGGATGGCTGGCAGGCCATCAATAACTTCATTCTGAAGAGACCTAAGCATGGTCCAAAGATTAGACAAAAAGGATGCAGGGTTTGGATAACTCAAACCCGTGGCATTCTACCGCGGACTTCGAGCATTTGGTGAGCAATCAGACTCGCCATCAGATGTACCTGCAAGAATATCCAAGTCTCAAAGGGCCGTCAAAAATGGGGTGTCCACAGTTGTGCCTCTTTGATAGAACTCGGAGTCATGAAATGATGTGAGCGAATGTCAAAGTCCAGAGATGACCCATTTTGACGAGGCCGTAAGACTTGGACAAATAATCAAGACAACAATAAATAGTTGCGCCCGCAGGCTGCCTATGTATCCCTTTGCAAGGAATCAAACTAGCATAGTTCTGGGAAAAAATGCAAATGATATGCATGATGCAAGAACATAACTTATGATCATGCAATAAGGCTATGCAATGAAACATTTAAAATGCAAACGCTATGCAATAAAAATGCTACATTTAAACAAACCAAAACAGGACACAACAATCTCAAACATGCAAATAAGTAAGTAACCATGCCACGCGTGGGAATTATGAGCCCGAACCACATGTCACGCAGAAAGGGTGCAAGAAAATTATGCAAGCTTAACTACATGACGCGTAAGAAAGATAGAGCGGAACCAAAATCATCGGGCGCACTCGAGATGTCAAACCGGATCTTAACGCGCTGCACGCGGAAGAAAACAAAGATGATGTAAACACCAGGATGCACCCGAGTGCTTTTAACCAAAAGGAGTTATGTAAACACCGGGACGTACCCGAGTGCTTTTAACCAAAAGGAGTGGTGTAATCACCGGGACGTACTCGGGTGATTTTAACTAAAAGGAGTGGTGTAAACACCGGGATGCACCCGAGAGCTTTTAACCAAAAGGAGTGGTGTAAACACCAGGACACACCCGAATGCTTTTAACTAAAAGAGGTTGTGTAAACATCGGGACGCACCGTAGTGCTTTTAACTAAAAGAGGTAGTGGTGTAAACACCGAGATGTACTCAAGTGCTTTTAACCAAAAGAGGTGGTGTAAACACCGGGACGCACCCGAGTGTTTTTAACCAAAATGAGGTAATCCCAACGCGTCCAAACGCAAGAGGGGAAAGTGAAAAGTTGCACAGGGCATGAGTGATTAAGTGTGATAGATGCACTAGTTAGAGGCAGTGTGATAGATGCACAAAGTGAACAAGTGCGATGGATGCACAAAGTTAACAAGTGCGATAGATACACAAAGTTAGAGAAAATATTCTCTTACCAAGACATGAATGATCTTATCCAGAATTTCTCTGAATGAACCATACATACAATATCGTCTGTCTGTGTTGGCTCCACCGAATGAACTGTACATACAATATCGTACCTGCATAAGAAAGAAACTCAACAAGTACAACATATTAAGGGTGCATGTTCTATACACGATTACACTAATCAGAAGGCATGTTCCATGCAAATGTGAGGAGCGTATATTCTATGTAGGTGTGAGAAGCGCACATTCTACAATAATGATAAGGCATGTTCCATGCAAATGTGAGAAGCGCATATTCTCTTCAATAACAAAAGTGTGTATTCTACAATAATGATAAGGCATGTTTTATGCAAATGTGAGAAGCGCATATTCTATGCAGTAACAAAAGCGTATTGTAGACTTGACTTTGTTCGCGCGCCCTCCTTTCGGTGAGGCGTGAATTGGTCTTACTACAGTTCGGACTCCTGTCATGGTTCTGAATCTAATCTCACAAAGTGCAATTTGTGATTGATAAACACCAAAGAGTCTAAATCTGGAAATTGGTTTTGGAAAATCAATTTTGAATGAAAAAGCGCCAAACATGGACTGTTTTGCCAGATTACAGAGTCGCCACCTAAATATTTTATTTTGGGAAATTTAGGAAACCCTAACTCATGCCAAAGGCCACGTGTCTGTCATCACCAAAGTTGCATCGGCTCGGGAACTTGGGTACGAGAGGGGAAGGTCCTTAAATAAGCACCCTCACTCGCCCGATCAAAGGATCGACCTCTACTACCATGATATGTTGTTTTTATAAACACATGTATTCTTGTTCCGGTTATTATCTAACTTTACTATGTGATGCGCACAGCATACAAGTATAGACTCAATCACAAGAATTGGAACAAAACAACTCATGTTTGTTTTTGAAAATGGTTTGAAAGTGCTACTCGCAAGTAGGCTAAAGCACGGATTTGCCACCTTCAAATGGGCTTGAAAACAAGGTTTTGCCACTTCGCAAAGTGGGCTTAAAACTCACATTTGATGAATTGTCCCAATTCAAGCAACAAAGCCTTGATCTACAGTCATTCATTTTGTTTATCAAGTAAGCAAATAGCCTCGTGGCAAGCATGCTATCATGGCAACACTCACACTTATGCAAGGATGCCAAGGCGTAAAAATTTACAGTGTACTCCAAACCAAAACAGAAAACTAGTTACAAACAATGCATGATTCCTAACTATGTTAAGATGCCTAATAGAACACATGCAAATATGCAACTAAATAGGCTCAGCTATCTAAGATGGCGTACGATACAATTTGCTAACATGCTGTGAAACACGTATTCAAATAAGTATAGAAATACAATGCAGTTTGAACGATGCGCTGAGCCCGGTGCATGCAAGACAAATGAATGATGCGCACATGCAAACATAAGGTATGCTAATCAAAACGTGTCCTAAACTAACCATCGAAAGCGGTTAAGTAAAAGGGAGAAAGACGCGGGGTTGGAAGACATGCACACACGTACTCACCCTTATTACAACATTATGCCCTCTCGCATAAGGGTCCGAATGAATAAGCCAAGCTACGCTACGCTAATTATTAGAAACCAACTAATTAACTATTCTAGCTAATTAATTATTACAAAACCGAATTGAATAACTAGCTACACTAAGCTAATTAATTACAAACCAAATTAATTAATTAAACACTTAACTAATTAATTACAAAACGACTAAGCTAATGAATTAATTAGCTAATCAATTCAAATGAAAAGCCTCGGGAAATGTAATTTTCAAAATGTGAGGGAATCAATTGTGTATTTCATAAACCTGGGTGGATATATTTACTGAAAATTTTATAAGTTTATGGTAAAAAATGAAGATTTTTACTTGCTTTTGAAAAATAAAATTGGTTAGGGAGAAAAATAATGAATAGTATGATTGATGTAGATGTGTAAGATTGATGTATACATAAGACCACTAGAAGATTGATGTATACATAAGACCACTAGATGGGTTGGGCAATCTAAAACGAGGGTCACCTGTAATCTTATGGACAATTGTCACTAGTTAGAATTTGTATCGGAAATGATAAGAGCACAAAGGTTTTGTAATTGGTGGGACAAGTACAGAGTGGGGGAAACATGTTAGGTCACTTGAACATTTATGTGAAAAGGGACAAAAAGAGAAATAAACTATGTTCTATTGATGCGGATAACAACCTCACGTACATAGGAAACTATTATGTGAGAAACACACACATACACACACACACACAAAAAAATGTAATAAATTTGCAAAATTTATTTATTTATTATTTGCTGGGGAAATGAAATTAGCTTTGGCCAATCAAAATATGATGAATAGTTTTTCTTCATTTTTTGATTTTGTTTTTCAGTCCAACAACAGCTTGTGTATCGCTTGATACTTGATACTGTTACACTGTGACCCTTACAGTTATGTCTCCTAGTACCACAATTTAGAGCCATGTTGTTTAACCTTTGGCTAGGTTTTTAACGTGATATGTTTTGCACCAAAAGATTCTAAAGAGAAGGAGTTTATATATTTTAATCGCACATACACCTTTTTATTAAAGGTTCTTTTGTGGAAGCAAACCACATCATCCACTTGGTTTGTTAAATTGAATCAATTGTCTTCATTACATTCAAGGGGGTTTTACTCATTAGAAGTGGATGGTTTTTTCGAAGAATCCTAAGTGTCTAAATTGGGTACGAGCGTCAGACACATATCCCACACCCTTATCCATGTCATATCCGGTGGACACGGGTATTGTGGGAGAAATAGAAGAGTCCATGTAACACAGCCCTACACCCATACTCAAATTCATGTAACATAGATGGTAATTAAACTTCACACGCTAGTATTATACATGTGCGCTGCCATTAGTCAGTTAGGGCATGCAGCTAGCAATCATATTGTGGCTATATAGAATTGGATCTCCTACATGACATCACCACGTCATCATCTCCCATGGGTCTGGCACCATGTGTTAGCAAAAATGTAATAAATTTGCAAAATTTATTTATTTATTATTTGCTGGGGAAATGAAATTAGCTTTGGCCAAGCAAAATATGATGAATAGTTTTTCTTCATTTTTTGATTTTGTTTTTCAGTCCAACAACAGCTTGTGTATCGCTTGATACTTGATACTGTTACACTGTGACCCTTGCAGTTATGTCTCCTAGTACCACAATTTAGAGCCATGTTGTTTAACCTTTGGCTAGGTTTTTAACGTGATATGTTTTGCACCAAAAGATTCTAAAGAGAAGGAGTTTATATATTTTAATCGCATATACACCTTTTTATTAAAGGTTCTTTTGTGGAAGCAAACCACACCATCCACTTGGTTTGTTAACTTGAATCAATTGTCTTCATTACATTCAAGGGGGTTTTACTCATTAGAAGTAGGTGGTTTTTTCGAAGAATCCATATTTGAGATGATACATAAATAGTGGAGCAGCTTGAGCTTCCATACTTTAATTTGTCACTACCTCTTATTCACTTCCCGCCACTGTCAATTAACCTTACTCATTGTTGCACCTTTATCTCCAATGTTATTTATTTAATTTTTTTTTAATATAAATTTATGGTTACATGTGGGACAAAGAGTTATATAGAGTATGCTCAATACAACTGCTTTAGATGTCGTCATGTCAAGATATTGAATACTTGTGCTATATTTAGGCCTGTTTTGGGAGTTTTCCTACCAACTAACAGATTTCACCTCCTTATTCCAAATATGTATTTACAATATCAATGACCCCATCGGGTTGGCCACAAAATTACAACATGGCATCTGCATCCAATTTGGGATAATTTATCTTGTTACAATACTGCAGAATTTGTTAGTTGATAGATTCCCCCATGTGTTAAATGTGGCCCCCCTGCTTTAGTCCTAAACATTGCTGCTGTTCAATCTTTCCATCATCTTCTTAATAAGGTTTTTCTGTTTCTTTATTTTGCTATCAGGCTGTGAGAATTCTTGCAAAAAGTCCCACATTTGCTAGAAATCCAAGGCACATTCAATTTGAGGCTGATATAAATCGCCTCTTTCTTTACACCAGGTTCATATCATTTGGTTATTGAGTTAACAATTGTTCATGTTACTCTTGTCCTGAGCCTGCTTTTGCCTTTCACAACACCTGTGTTTCGTGCTTTAAAGTTATGAATGCATTAATGCTTGATTGACCTGAGTTTTGTGGCCTTGAAAAAGAAGAAATTTTAACAATTGTTAATGTATTGAAAATGGTGTCATGTATTCTGGAAAGGTCATAATAAGAGGCAAATTCATCTTGAATTCCTGAAGTATCTATTATCGACAATAATCTTATGGTATTTCAATTTGAGCAATATATAATTTTTGTTTCTACCAAGAAATCTAGTAGTAAGGCTTTGAATTTGTAATTAGGGTATGCATTCTATTTTGTAAATTCTTAACATAATGCCTTTCAAGATAAAAATCTACCCAATGGGACAATATTAACTTATAAAATACTTAATGAACTTGGCTTAAATGACAAAAAGATCTTGACTAGCAGGAGTTAAGAGATCTAGTTGACCTTGAACAACTTTCATTATTATTTTTTCCCTTATCCAACTTGGAGGAAGTAGTTTGACTTCTAGTGAAGATTTGAAACTTTCGGGGATTCAAATTGTGAATCAAAGTGGCATTGTATCAAATCGCGAATAAAATCAAATTGTGAATTGTAAAGGTTCGGTCACTTGTTTTTTTTTTTTATTATATAGAAAAATATATCTATACACTTACTTAGGGATTAAATATATCTCATAATATGAAATATTTAGACTCAAACTCCTAAAAATGTTGTTTTGAATAATGATCAAGTAGTCTAATAGATAAGAAGTTAACACATGTTCCAATATAAGATCTCCACCTTACCTTTTCCTTTTAAATATTTGTTATCAACCATTCTCACTAGATGCCTTGAAAAGATTCCTTTTATAACTGTAAACACTTGGATAAAGTTGATTATCAAAACCTAGAATATTATATAGAGAGGAGATTCTATTTTTTTTTTCCTTTTTTGTTCCAGGTTTGAGTCTTTGAGAGTAAATAGGGAGGGAGAAAGTCAAAGGATAGCATATAGTAATTGTAAAGACCTTAGAAAAATTGTGTGAACTCTTTTTCAAAAATAAAAAAGCAAAAAAGAAGTTAAATTGATTTCAGCAAATCAAAAGTGAATCAATCGATTCATCGATTCACTCAGGGTTCACAACTATTTGAGATTTATGCAACATGTTCATATCGATTATTGACTGAATTGAATTGTATGATTCGAATCGCGAACCGTATGATTCCAATAATAGAATAGCAATACTTGGCATAAGCAGTGTTATTAAAGGCGATAGGTGCACCAAGGCGCCAAGGTCTCGTGGGGCCTAGGCTCAAGGCTCAAGGCGCAAGCCGAGGAGCAGGCTCCATTGAAGTGAGGCACACCTTGTACGGAAAAATAAAAATAAAAAATTAATATAAGTAAATAATAGGGTTCAATATAGACAAAATGAAATGTTAAACATTTAGTGTTCTTCGGAGATTAGGCATTAGGGTAATTTTTCTTTTATCATTGATTTGGGGTTGAATGTAAAATGTATTGGCATCTATAATAAGAGTATGGATTTTCTGTAGATGCACCATATTAAATCAATGGTTAGATTTTAAAAAAAAATTTAATTAAAGCAATACTAAAAAAAATCCCTAAGACACAAGCCTTGGACCTTCTTGTGCCTTGGATCAGTTAGGCACCTTATCGAAGACATCTAGCCTAGAACAATACAAGGCACAAATCTTGGGTCTGGATAGAACTTGGGCCTAGGTGCACGGCTAGGCGTGCCTTATTGAAGTCGACTGGCCTGGAACATTACAAGGCGCAAACCTTGGACCTGGATGGGACTTAGGTCTAGGTGCGCCTTTAATAACACTGGGCACCACTATAGACGATCTTTGTCTTCGTCTCTCTCTCTCTCTATATATGTCGATCTTTGTTTTCTCTCTCTTCTCTTTGTCGATCACTTTTCTCTTCTCTGTTCTCTCTTCTCCTCTCTATGTCGGTGAATATCAATCTCTTTTCTATCTCTCTCAAAAGAAATTCAATTAAATCATATATAATAAAAAAAATCTAATAAAATCTATAAAACAAATCGTTTATTTTTTATTTTTTATTTATCTTAACATAATTTGTTATTTTTTATTTGTTATATATATTTTTTTATTTATAATATATATATATATATATCAATTAAAAATAAAACAAAGTAAAAATTTTTTTTATATATAATATATATATATATATATATATATCAATTAAAAATAAAACAAAGTAAAAATATTATTAATAAAAATAATACATAAGATAAAAAAATAATAAATATATTTAAAATTAACTATTTAACTCATATTCATATAATATATATATTTAAAAAATAACTATTTAACGTATCCTCGTACTTGTATTCAAATTTGGATCCATATCCATGTATCCTTAATTTTTAGTTTTGAAGTATCCGACCCTAAGATACACACCCTCACCCGAGTCCATGTAACATAGATAATTGTTGAGCTTTGATGAGGTAATTCACTTTCATAGTGTTGGAAGATTGAGACAAACATCATGATTAATATTCTGCATGTCATGTATTGATGCTCTAATCTACCATGTGCCTTCATGTGAACACGATGCAGCCTTTGTTGCCATATAGTTGCCTTTTTCTTTTTGTCATGCTAGTCTTAATTCCTTATGGAAAACCTTGCATATCCAGCTATAATTGTTTAGGAAGGAATGCTGATGAATCAGATGCAGAGGCGATCATTGATATGGCTGGTAAGGCCTCCCTTGCTGATCAACAAAAACAAGTTCAAGAAAACATTTATTCTCAAATTAAAACCTTCTGTGCATCAATGGATGAAATTCTTCTTCCTGATTCAAAGAGCATAAATGAATCATCTGAATCAACTTCGCAAAGGAATACTGCTGTGACCCGTAGTGGCCTTGGCCTTGCTGTTGGAAGGATGAGCCCACAAAATAAAAGTTCTGTTGAGTACGTATCTGCATCTTTATTTCAAACTGTCAGAAATTTGTTTTTATCAACTCCGGGACATTTTAAATTTCACTTTATTAGTGTTTGGAATTACTACAGCTTTTTACTGTATTTGAGCTAACACTGAGTTTGCTTAAATTTACCCACTTCCTGATTTGTAAAATTTATCTTAGAATATTTATTGTTATCTTATAGAACGAATAGATAGTTTACTGAAACCATCTAAGACATTGTTTATTTTTTTTTATTTCTTATTTTTCTTTCGTAGTTTTGTGTTATTGATTTAAATTGAATTTATTTGGCATCTGGAAAAAAAAAAGTGAGTGAACTGCGAATAAATTGGTTCCTTTAAGTGCTCCTTGCCGAAACTATATAGTGGCAAGTCATGAAAAATCATCTTATTATGGGCAATATAGGTAGTACACAATGCATAATAACATAGTTATTATGAACAATAACTATGGTCTTGTTGCATAAGTAACTTGACATGGAAGAGCTTGACAGGTCTAGGTATGTGAATCCTAGTAGTCAACTATGGCAAAACTATGAGATCATTCTTAGAAATCTAAGCTTGTTGACAAAAGATCTTGACTTGTGCTTAATGCCTTATCCCATCTCACTTCCCCATTACCGTTGACATTTGGCACTATCAAAAGCAAGGCCTCCAATCTGGCTTTCACCTCTGCTGTTCCCAGCAATACTATAACAATCACATCTCTCAGATAACATCTCTTTCCTTGTATTTTCACTATATCAATCATGACTATATTCAGGGGAAAAAAGAAGAAAAAAGAAAAGAAAAAGAAAAAGAGAACAAGTTAGTGACTGTGAAAAATGATTAGAGGTATGTGGGAACTAGGAAAGAAGGATAGTGGTATCAAAGAGCCTCATAAGGCGACTCAGAACTCATTTTTTCATTTGATGTGACCCCTTGTGTGTTTGTGTGTGTATGTGTGCGTGTGCATCTGAAATAAATAGTTGGGATGTTAGCATTGTACGATCTTACAAACTTTATTTTTTAATGAGCATTTAGTCATCTTTTATGCATATCTTGGTTGTTTTATTATATGCGAATTTCTTTATATTGTGGTTTAGTCATTTCGATATGATATACAACCGCAGATTCTTTACCAAATAATGATACTGATGTTGTTCTGTCCTTTTATGTGACATGTTATTGATGATTAACCATCCATATGAAATTATTGTTATATTGTTTTTTCTTTTAATGAGGTTTCCAGGACCTCTTGGAGCATTGAAGTTATTAAGATCTATTGATGATCAACCAATGCTTTGTCCACCCACCCCCCCTCAACACACACACACACACACACACACAAACTGTCTGACAAAATTTTATCTGTGGTTTAAACGTTCTAGTACTAAAATAACTATATTGCCACTTGGTTCTCTGAATTTATCTTGATTGCATTCAATGGAAATAGCAGAAGATTACATAATTTTATCTGTTTGTCTGCCTGTATCAAATTTTAATCACTGTAGTCTGTACCTAGCTTGGTCATCTGGTGAATTTATACCTATATTATTTGGTGTGGAACTCCCAATAATTTTGAGTAACTTTTAATGCTGGAATCTGATTATCATGAATTTTCAGCACAGCTGTTCCTGATACAAAACCGTTAAAACCTGCTGAGTTGTCTTAGAGTCCGAAGAATCTCATAGGCTACACTCTTGAGCTCAAACCGTCTCAAATTCCGCATATGGATGCTGGCCAAGGTTTTTTCATAGATGGTCAAGCCGATGTTGGTATTGTAATAGCAAAGAGATGGTCCCAAATGTAATGGTTTGCCCTTATGATTTTTCGTTAACTGAGAAGGATATGAGAACCTATATACCAAACATAAAGTTTGGAAGTGGAGAGGAAGCGAAGATGAAAAGGTTTGGAAGTTTTTGGTTTATAGGTTCCAATCCTCTTCCTCTCCAATCCTTTCTTTTTGGATGTCATTGTAAAGTTTTTTCAAAGCTGCAATTTGACCTTTTTGATTATAACCTAACAATGAAGTGGACTATGCTGAAATCATCATGTTTACATTCTTCTCTCTCTCTCTCTCTCTCTCTCTCACACACACACACACACACACACACACACGGCATGGTGAAAATATTATCAGGCCAAATTTATAAGTGGAAGCATGTTCTGAATTATGGTTGCTTGTAATTTGAAGCATATTTCCTGGAAGTAAACTCAAAGTAACATATTTATCGCATATATTGGTTGATTTTAAAAGGCTGAGTGTTATGATCCTACATCCCTTAAGAGTTGGTTTGATCATGTGAATATAAGCTCTTAGGTATCCTCTCCTTGCAAGCTAGTTTTCAAGGGTTAATTCTACTTATGGATTTTTATTATTTGGTATAAAATTTGGCTACCATGTCGAGTATAGGATCATGTGAGTTACTGTTTAATGATTCAAGCCTCAGAGGGGGCAACCTATATGCCAACAGAGAGAGCGAACTATAGGCTAGATGAAGACACTAGTATTGCAACAGTACCAACACACTTTTGACAAGTACACAAGCCAAATTTAAGCGTAAACTTGTGTATGGTGAGGTATGGGGAGCTTGAGTTTCAACACATCTTGGAGAGACTTTGGAGATGACTTTTTTTTTTCTTGAAACACCATACAAAGTGAATACTAAACTTTTTCAGTGGTTAGATTTATGATTGTGATTACAATATTCTTTTTTTTTTAGTTATATTAGTGAGAAAAATATTTAAATGTAAAAAGTAAAAAAGGTAAAATTAAAAATTTAACCACTTCAGCATGCTTATATAAATCAATCAGTTATATAAATCAATCAACTCTATTGAATTTAGTACATTATCAAATAACATTTAATTTTTAATATTCAGTTTTATCAAATATCACCTAAGACAAGTTTGATATGTAGAAAATATTCAGTATTGGAAGAGTGTCACTTGGGGTGATTTAAGTGAAAGCAAATCAAGCAAGATTTCTTAGGGGGTTTTAACCACGTTAAAATGGGCTAATATATTGTTTGATCTCATATCCATTTTTTTTATTAGTCCATCATAATAACAATGTAAAAAGGTTTAAAATTGAATGGAACAAAAGAATCATTAGGATTTGATAGAGCTTTTATCCGTATCTAGGCCCGTTTGAAGAGGGGTTCAAATAGTTACAAAAATTATTATAAGTTGTTAAATTATTTTTTTACACTTTTATTTATTTATAAAATGTCAAAAAATCAACTCCAAAACAACCCCCTATATTTAAACACCATAAGAAAATGCTGCCCATAAATGATTTTTTAACTAAGCTTTTTTATCAATAGAGACAAGGACAATGAATTTCACATGTATTTATTAACATAAATTTATGATTTTTGTGTTAGTAATAAGAAAATTTGATTAAAAAAATAAACTTGGGTAAATTATACAGCTAGTCTTGGTATTTTAACCCTTATGTCATGTTGGTCACTGTAATTGGAATTGGTTCAATTTTAATCATGAATTTTTGACTTTGTCTCAAATTGGTCTAATAAATTTCAATTGAACCCTTATGTCATGTTAGTCACTGTAATTTGAATTGGTTCAATTTTAATCGTGAATTTTTTGCTTTGTCTCAAATTGGTCTAATTAATTTCAATTGTATGTATTTTTGTTTATGAAAAAAGCACACATGAGTAGGTGTCATGCTTTTAGAAATAAAATTATAAATTTAATTAATTCAGTGACTCAATCTGAACTAACTCAATGATCATTTCACATAAAAAATCCTAATAGTATTATCAATTGAACAAAATTGATATAAAATCTAAAATTAAAAACTAAAACGATAGAAACCAAATGATACAAACATCAAAATATAAAAACTACGGGTATAATTTATCTAAAAATCTTTTATGCATAAATATTACCCAAGTTCACAATACTTGAATAAAAAGGATATACTACCTATGAAGAACACCGCAAACCAAAATTCAAAGATCTCCACATCTAAAACTATTATAAACCCTTCTTCCCAAAAAAAAAAAAAAAAAAAAAAAAAGGAACAGAAAAAAGAAAATAGTACAATTGCTTGCTGCGTAGAAAGTACATGTTCAACTTCACGTGAAATCACAAATCAATATGAACCATATAGCAACCACTTCCTGTTCACATGAGCTAAGAACATATCACAAGGTGATTCACTATCACCCATTCAAGATATTTGAAAGTATATACGTGAAGTAAATACCTTTGAAATTATAATCCATAAATCATGATATTTTAGATTGAAGAACAATAACCACAGAAAATCATATAACATGCCCAATTTTGAGGAGGCTCATAATAGTTTCCACCATAATTTTCAGGAGGCTCATTTTGAGGAGGCTCATAGTAGTTTCCACCATAATTTTGAGGATGCTCATAGTAGTTTCCACCATAATTTTGAGGAGGCTCATTTTGAGGAGGCTCATAATAGGTTCCACCATAATTTTGAGGAGGCTCATAATAGTTTCCACCATAGTACCCACAAGGCATTTCATGATCATACCCACCACAACGTGGAACCTCCTCTTCCATTCTTTGTGAATTTTGGTACACATTTTCAGGCTCTTGACCATGGTAAAATGGATGATGACAAGACGGTCCAGACCTATCAGAGTCATAAATTGGAGGATACTGAGAAGAAGACTCTGAAAATCCATCATCAATGGTTGTTCCTTTTGCTTTCTCATCACTTGTGTATCTTTGAGGGAAGCTCGGATCGTGATCATCTTCATCATCAACATCAGCATCATCATCATCAGATGAGTTGGCTTGGATGCCAAAGCCATGTGTTCTTTCAATATTGGTATTGGGGTTTGCATGAACACCAATGTTTCTATGGTTTGTATGAACACCATAGTTGTAGTTGTTTCTTGGATTTGCATGATCAATGCCATCGTAGTGGTTGATATCATCGGCTCGGAAATCTGTTTGGTCCCCAATGCTATGCCTTATCGAGTCATTTTGACCACCATCATTTCGGTATTTTGGTTTTCTTGATGATCTCCCTGAAAGAGGTTTTGACAAATCAAAAAGTGATTATTACACTGCAAAGTTTCAGCATAATAAAGAGAAAAGAAAAGAAAAGAAAGAATTATATTGTTAACAGCTCTGCTTGGTTGGATTTTCATTTTTTTTTTTTTCATTTTTGGTTTGCTGTGTTTTTAGAAACAAAAACCAAGAAAAGTTTGTAAACATTCATCAAAGTTCGTAAACATCGAGCGTTTTCATTCCGTACAAAAATAATTTTGGAAATTACAGAAAAAACTTATTTAGTGTTTCTTAAAAAGTGGATTGTTTTCAGAAATTATTTTTGAAAACAGTTCTCGAAAACAATTCATGAAACATATTTCTTGTGCTTTCTGAAAAATGAAAACAAAAACACGAAAGAAACAAAAATACAACCAAACAAAACAATACAATAAAATGAGGAGATTGAAAATAAGAATGAAACAAGAGCTAGTGATTAAAAAAACTATGTAGTTGTAGACACCCCATTTTTGACCGACCTTAAGACTCAGACATCACTAGTTGAGCGCTCGGTGATGTTGCATATTGTGCTCATTCTGAGGTTTCAGAGTCTCGGCTGCAAGCCTTACCTCTGAACTTCGGGGCTCTTTTGTGCTTTGCCTCGGTTTGCGAACCAGGTCCTGTTTTCTCTGTTTTCTCTTCCCAAAGGGAGGGAGAGGTCTTGTAGACTATCTCTCAGTGGCCGTAGGCTAC